AAATGCATTGGTCTGTATGTGCCGACCCTCTACTCCAACCCATTCGCCACATGTATTGAATGCCTTGAATGTCACGGACTGTTTGCCCCCCAAAAGTTTGTCTGTCATTCCCATCACTCCCGAGAGAACCGGACCTGTCATTGGGGTTTCGACTCAAGCAATTGGAGGGCTTATCTCCTTCTCGCTAAAGACAAACAGGCCATCAGTTCCACTCCAGAGGCCGTCGATAGTGATATCGAGCGACACCTCAGCGAAATGAAAGCCCGCTTTGATTTCAAGAGAAAAAATTCGGTGAGTTTTATATGTTTTGGCATAGATTTGATCGCAAAATGGTTTCATTCTTTGCTTATATTATATATGTTTGATATGTTTTATACATTTTTATGCAACTCTTATGACTTGAACTCAATTTAAAGCGATTCCATGCGTTCATAAATCTTATGCTAAATCTGAGAGGGAGAGAGGGAGGGAGAGAGAGGCTGTTGTGTTGCACTCTTTCAATGGTTTAAATGGTTTCCTTTGAACCGTGTTTGCAATGGAGTGCAATGGGAGCCCATCTGGCAATGAATGCAGAGTGAGTGCATGTGAGTGCCAGAGCCGGTGATGGCTGTGATGGGGTGCAGCACTTGAGTACAACTTTAATGTCTTTTGCATATATTGTTGGATCGCTCGGAGGAAAGACAACCGAATAAAGTCTGTAGTCGTGAGGCATAGGATGCGTACTGTAATTATCATAAGAATGCCTGAGCTCTCAATCCTAGCATTTCTATCCCTATTCCTAAATAACCAGTTTTTGTTGAATGCAGTTTCAGATGAAATGCAATCATTATTATGTAATTAAGTCAAGACTTTTTCGTCGCTAAAATAATTAATTTTATTTTAAATATTTTTATTTCAAAAATTTCCAAAACAAATGCATCTCATATTCAATGCAACTCTTATTTCAACTTATTTTGTGCACTATTTTCTCAGTTATACACAAGAAAAACGGGATTTTCTCGAAAAATGAGTTCAGTTTATACTCTTTTAAGTCTCAGGTTTTCCTCTTAAATATTCTCAACATTGAAAACATCCAAACATTCAAACCATTGAACATTTTTAGTCAAATAATAAGTTGCTTTCATGGGAGGGAGAGAGAGAGAGAGAGGGAGGGAGACGGAGAGAGAGAGAATTTTATATTGAAATAATTGGGATTTTGGTGAGCGCTATATGTGAGGCAAAGGGAGTGAATAACTGCCAACTGTTCCTTCGATTTGTGCCATTTGTGAACCCCTTATACGATAGACGGACACAAGACATAAGATATGTGTTTCCTTTTAATGTAAATGATTTGAAGCCCAGTTTATAGCAAACCATTCGTTGTGTACAATACTAGTAGGCATTGGTCAGTAATAGTCACTCTCACTCAAAGCCATGGCCGCAAAGCATATACCCTCCTGTGCCTCCCGCCGCGCCCGTCTCCCCCTCTGCCCTGCCTTTGATGTGTTGGGTCTGTGTTTCTGTTGTTTGGTATCATTTGGTGATCCCTTTCCCGGAATGAATCCCAACTTGTGGTCCAACAGCTGGTCTGAGACTCTTTTCCTGGAATCGCAAACATTTTCTCTTTCTTTAACTTCTTGAGTAAGCATTAAGTTTGAGATAATAATACTTTAAGGCTTTAGACAAGCGCTGCAAACAACGCTCGTTTGCTGTTTGCTCTCTACAGCCGCTCTTCACACGGGAGACCTTAGGAGGCGATCACTACTCATAACTAATTAACCAATTCTATCGCCAATACATTTAGTGTCATATATTTTCAAAATGTCATTCATTATAAAATGCACTCTAATTAGTAAAATATGACGACTATAGGGGAAAGCAAGGGTCAAGTGCTCACATATGAAAGCTATATATAACATTACAGACTATTTTATAGTTCAATAATATTACCAATGAATGTGATAAATGCATAAGAGTTGGGTATAGAAAGCATATAAACAGTGTGTTTAGAGCTGGAAAAGGGCCATACATTTAGGAATTCCCCCAAAAACTGGTCTCTTGTGTCTAAATTTATTGGTTTAATAGAAAACAAGTTTAATATGATTTGAATCTAATTTTTAACATTCAATCCAAAGGTCACGAGAGATAAGAGCGAAGTTTGCGATCAAACGAAACGATTGAAATGTGAGGACTCATTGGGAACGCCGAGTCTCTATCCTTATCCCCCATATTTATTCTCGCCGTACGGATGGGTCGACCCCTCGCTACTCATGTATTGGTGTCCGACATTGGCGTCGGGTCTGTCTGTTTCCGGTGCTAACAACGCTAATAACGCTAACAATTCTGGTTTCGCCACTCTTTTCAAACCATTGGAAAAGTTATTTGAAGAAAACAATTTGAATGAAGAATTGAGAGTTAAAATTGTAAATGAAGTACAAAACATCATAACCATTATCAACAAATTGCCATATAAGTGATCATCAATACACCGCTCGATCACATCACCCGTTCAATGCTCACCCAAAGGTCTCATGCATTTCAAGTCACACACCATTTATGATATCAATGTATTCATAGCCGTTATATTCTCGAGTTATAATTGTTTTCACACTCTCTCACACCTCCCAAACCCACCTCAACCCCACTCTACCGCCCACTCCATAACCCTTATCTAATTGACCACACATTCTCATTATAGAGCAAATGTGTGACATTTTAATCCATTTTAACAATAAAAGTATAGAAAAGCGATTCAATTGTCGATCACTTCTAACAAATGTTTTAAAGTCCAAAATCTAAACAATTATCGCTTTAATTACATATTAATGATTAATTCTATTGATTGAGACATTTTTATAAATACTATTATAATCGTTGATAACATTCTTTCCTCACATTTATCTCATTTTCACAATTTCTCATAACTAATAACTTTTGACAAATTTTAATATATTTTACATGTAATGAAATTTGCATAAAATGTGTTCAAAACATAGCAATTATTAAACTCGAGATATAATAGCCTTTTGTGCCGATCCGTCGACCCCTTCCCCACTCATAACTGTTCAAAAGATTGCATGGAATCTAAAGTGACAAAAAACGGACACTTTTTTGTATTTATATATAAATATATATATATAATAGTTATATATATATTATATTAAATTTAAAAATTCATTGATTGTATACTTGATTAATACACAAAACTTATGATAAAGAGCGCAATGGATAACCACTGGCACTGGACTACGTATTGTCCAGTAATGTGTCTGTGAATAAGTGTGTGAATAGAGGAGCACCTGTAGTGAGAGCACATGGACACAAAGTGAGGGCCGGTTGTGAGCATACATTGCGCTCTTTATGATAAGTTGCATCGTTTTGTTGCATATCTTGTAAATGATATCCGCATTGTTTCTAATATATTGTTAATTCAATTAAAAACATTTTCAAATAAAATTCAATTTTTAAAATCGATGACAATTATGTTGATTGAGTTGTTTTACTCGTGTATTTACTCGTATATCAATATTTATTTATTAAATTAATAGTTTATCATGTTTTTAATGAGCATCAGTTCCCATACAAATAGTCTAATAAAATGTTAATCGCATTCAAAATAATGCAAAAATAAAGAAAACAATTGACAATTTAATGCAACCTTATTTTGAATGCAATTTTATAGTTAAGTCTCCACTAATTGTGTGGAAACGACTCTAAAATAATTGTAAATTAATTTATAAATATTTTTATTACAAATCGATCTTCAGATGACAATAACTTTCAATATATTTATATATTTATAATAATTATTCTTATAATTAAATCATTGTTAATATCGGTAATCAATTACTAAGCGATGAGAATTGACTCAACTGGTGATGGGCTCGTTCTCCTCCTCGTCGTCCTCGTTCTCCCTGAGCCACGTCAGGAACCGAACCACACTTTTCACGGCCACCGCTTTCCCAGAGCCGTTGCCGTCGCACTTCTCCCACTGTAAGAACCCGTCGTGTGATATCACGCTGTGGTCGTAAAGGCATTGGAATATCTTTAACAGCAGGTCTACAACAAAGCAATAACAGTGTCAGTGTTAGTGTCATAACAGCCTACATGTGCATCGGATGGCATACTTGGCGGATGTTGCAGTCTCTCCATCAGCTCCTGTAGGACTATCAGAGCCTGGAGTTCACCGTCTGGTTCACCGCCGAGGAATTTCTGGAGAAGCGGTGCGATCGCTATTAATGTCGGCTCGTCTAATGTCGTCTCTCCGATGTCTTGATGAACTATGAGTATCAATACATAGATATAGAAAAACAATTCAACCAACAAATGGTGTATTCGTACCGATAATACATCCCTGGATTATAGCTCTAAATAAGGCACTCGTGAAAACAGCATTATTTGTTTGCGAGACATTGAAATGTTTCTAAAATTAATTACCAAATTATCAGTTAGTCTAGACTTAATGTCATTTACACAATAGTATTCAATACTAACGGATATAAAATTCTGTATTTCATCCTTAGATTTCTTCTGTTTGACGAGGTTTTCTATGTCTTCAACAAAATGTGATAACTTTTGTTCCGAATTATTTGATTTATTAGTTGGCGTTTTTGTCGTAAATTCCACGTTCTGTGCAATAAATAATTCATTATTAAGTATCAATTCATTGTAATGTTTGCAATGTATTGAAAATAATTGGCTCACATGTTGTATAACAAAATCTTCAATATTTTGATTGGAATCTAAAAAGTCAGTCCAATTCACTCCACAACTGAACCATAATTCGTTTGCTTTCGTTTCAGTCTAAAGACAATACAACGCGTTATACGACAATCATTCAAACCGCTCATCAAAAAACTTACTGTGAATATTGAGACGGCTTTTAATATTTTTGCTATAAATTTTGAACTCCTATTCCGATCGCAACGTTTTACTACTTCTAATAAAAATGTTTTTCGATTTGCAGTTAAATTTTCATCAAAAAACTTACTGTGAATATTGAGACGGCTTTTAATATTTTTGCTATAAATTTTGAACTCCTATTCCGATCGCAACGTTTTACTACTTCTAATAAAAATGTTTTTCGATTTGCAGTTAAATTAACAAAAATAGGGGCAATAATATTGCCGATATAGTCCCACATCTTCGGCACATCCAGTTCTACATCTCCGGAGTACTCGAGTATAGAATTGAGCCTTTGATTAGAATGAATACAACCATTAAAATCAAATGCCAAATAAATTAAAGTGAGATGTGTTACCCCTTATAGAAGTGGTCGAGTTTTAAACATTGTTTACTAATTAAATGAATAATAAGTTTCCCGATGAGGAAGTGGTCGGACTGACTAGAGTTCTCGAGAGCGCAGTTGATTGCAGACAAGATGTAGACGTCGGCGTTGGAGTCGTTGCATAAGTTGCAAACATCTAACTCCGGTTCGTCAACGTTCTTCACATTCAAATACTCTTTGAGAGAAACCTTGCATTTCTCTTCTAAGTCTTCGGCCGAAATGGATTGACTGCCTCTCAATTGATTGACTTCAATGTCAGGCGTTTCGCGACGTATAGAACTGTTGCGACTGTTGGGAGCGCTCGCCTCTCGACTATCACTTCGACTACTGTTTCGGGAAATCATATTTGGATACGAAGGCGACGATTCGGACGGCGATTGTCTGCTTGAAAAGCTACGCGCGAGGTTTATGGCATCTTCACGCTCTACACCACGTCCACCGCCCCCTCCTTGAGAACGGCCTCCTCTCCCCTGTTGCCCATAATTCTGTTGATTAGATCTCCCTTTACTTGAATCACGCGAAGAGATTATTCTGTCATTTCAATACATTTGTTAACAAAAATAAACACTAAATCAAGTCATCCATACTTTTGCGATGATTTTCTACTATCATTGCTCTCGAGCGGTGAAAACCTATTGAGCTGTTTGTCTTCGGCCGCAAATCGAGACTGAGAAGAAGAGGCGCCACCACCGGCTCCACCACCACCTCCGCGACTGCCCATAGCCCAGGCACTACCGGATTGTGGTCCCAATTGGACGGTGTCGTGGTTTTGTTGTTGCTTGAAATGTGACATTTGTGTTAACATTTGTTATGTTTATAAAAACAATTAAATCAATTTATGAATAGATCAGAAACGAGGAATTTTGTCGTCAAATCAGTCGGACAGGGATAACGCTCATCATTGTATTCAATATAACTAATGCATTACAAGACAATCATATGCCATAACATACCATATTCCGCATCTTCTGCCAGTCAATGTTGGGTTGGGAAGCGTTTTGACTCTTTCGGCCGATTACTGTTGTCCATTGAGCGCCGCCTTCGCCCGATTCATTGCCCTGTCGTCCGCCTGTATTCAAACAATACTATTAATATAAGAGTGAATAGCATTAAAAGCTTGTAATTACCTTTTTTGTTGTGATCCCTTTCCTCCTGCTGTTTCTTACTGGAGTGCTGGTGACGATCTCTAATCATCTGTTCGTCTTCTTTCTGAGCGTCCGAATGGATTTCATCGATCATTTTGGGCAGATTCTCGTCCCTCCGAGCTTTCCAACCATTCCTTCGCATATCGTTAATGTCTCTTAACATGAAGCGCACGCGAGCCGACGTGCCCTTCACTTTGGGATCCTTATGGTCGGCCACGTTTTGCATCTTCACAAAGAATGCGTCCAAAAGCATCGTCTGCTGTTGACTTTTGGACGCTTCCAATTCGATCTGTCCTCCAATTGTCCTCAAGAGAGCGCAAAGACATTCGAGAGACTCGTCGTCGGCATCTTTGATAAGGTTGTCAATGCACTGAACCATAATATTTGCTTTCAACATATTTAACTTATAGAGCTCTCCAATGAGTTTAATGTTTCCCAAACTCCTCTTCCGGGCTCTCCTCATGTCTTCGTCGAGCACTTCCCTCTTGAACTTCTTCTGCTGCGGATCAGTGCACTTCTCGATCTCTTCTTGTCGTTCCTTCAAATCAGTGATCGACGCGTAAATGTCTGCTTCGAATTCCTTCTGACATTTATGAAGAAGAAGTTTAAGAAACTTCACTTCTTCGGCGTTCTCTTCCTTATTGACCATAACTTTAAATTTGGACAAATGTTTGCAAAGATTTGCATATTGTAGACAAAAGGCCGGTTCGTCCACCGCTTTCTCAAACACCAGGTCTAAGACTCGTTTGAGTCGGTCTTCGGTGTCGATTTTGAAGGACAGGATCTGTTTGCTTAAGTCGTCGTACTTCTGTGGCGTCAGTTTATTCAGAATTCCTCGAATCTTCTTAAGCAGTTCCAGAGTTTCCTGTTCGTCGGGATCGGCCACGTCTTTAAACTGTTTCGCCAACGGTTTCCACGCGTTCTCTGTTGTGTGGAGTTTCACTTCGTGTGTCAGAGAAGTAGAAATAATCTTTCGATTCTTAGTCTCGGGTTGTCTTCCAGTACTGACCCGTCGGCCGGGAACCTATCGCAAGAGTATTATGTCAGTCAAAGTCGCATACAATACCATTCAATGAATAGACATACCGTTCCTATTCTACTGTTAGACTTAACATATGTGGGCATAAAGAAGTTGAGCGGCGCGTCTTCAGTGTGACCACCGCTCGATTCCTAATGTGAATAATAGGAGTCAATCAAAACACATTCAAATCAAATTCACAAATCATTCAAATGGCAAATAAACCAATTGATCAGAAACGAGGAATTTTGTCTTCAAGTGATATAAGACAGGGATAACGCTCATCATATGTCGAATACAATCTAAAATTGGTTAGTTATGTAATTCTGAATGAAATGCTTACTAAAGTGCTAAAGGAAGAAAAACCTCCTAAAGTCCGTAAAACTCACTTCTCCTGAATAGAGATTGCCGCATATTTTTCAGAGAAAGTATATGTTTTTTGCCTTCGGGATTGAGAGGAGTCCACTGGTCGTCCTTATAGGGCAGATCTGGAAGTGCTGTCTTAGGCGTAGGTATGGCTGATTCGACTTGAATTTCAATTTTCTCTAAACACTCGTCATTTGACTTAATTTCGTTCAAACGATTGATTTCATTGGTTTTAATTTGCAAATCATTTTCACAAATATTATTATTACAAATAACATCAGTTTTAGTTGAATTATCAGTGCATTCATTATCGAGTGTTGGGATCATTACAGGCGACGACCGTTCACTCATAGGTTTGGGCTCTGTTTTGTCCACAACTGTAACTCTCACAACATTGTCCGTCACCTCTAAATCGTTGCTAACATTGTCTTCTAATTTACGATTCTCTGTAACCGTCGACTCTTTTTTCTGGTCATTAATATTATTATTATTATTCACTTTTTGTTGAATGGAATAGTCTTTGGCTTTCATTAAAAAAATTATATAAATTAGATATTAAAGCAAAATATATAACAAAATAAAGCACAATATCGATGAAAATGAGGCAAAAATGTCAATCAAACAATAAAATAGGTAAAAATTTGCGCATATGTTATGTTAAGACATTTTAGTGATTAAGATATTAATATCTATGAATAATATGGAAAAGTTGCTCTCAATGCTAACCCAAAAGCAAACCTGAATTCACTTTGCAGTGAGTTTTCCTTCTAATAGTCCTGTCGTGTCTCTGATGGTGACATTTGGGGGGTTTTGTAGCAAAACTAGCCATTGGTTTCTCTCATTTGAATACATTCAACACAAATGAGAATTATTTTGGATAAGAAGACATTTTTAAAGACTCATCACAACTATATTTGATTAGGAAAGCGGTTAACGCGAAGGCATTGCTTATCGCTCACACTTCGTATAAGTGGAGCCTAACTGTACGCTAAATATAGTAATAGACTAATAGTAATACTAATTACGTCAACACATGTTTAGGGATGAATTTGCAACTCTTATTTCGAGTCACATCATCACAAATAGGCCCACATTTCGTCATTGTATTCAATTTTACAATCAATTTGTCATAAATACAAACCTATATCTGGTTTATTGGCCGTCTTCTGTTCACTTAAGTCATTACAACTATCAGTTAAGTCTCCATTTTCACTAATTTCACTCTTCATTTCACTCATGTCTTTCACAACATCTTTCTCACCACTCAATTGACTATTAATTTTAGTTGAATTTTGAGCTGAAATGTCATTCAATAGTTTACTATCAGTTTTATCATCAATATTAGTATTAGAAGCACTAATTGTCGTATTTGTATTAATAATCACTGGTTTATCGTTCGTCAAATGGTCACAATTATCCCTTAATTTGTCATTAATTGGTTCACTTGTGTTGGGTTTACTAATAGCTGTCTTCTCTTCCCG